ACATAATTTGTTAAATTTGATTATATTAAGAGAGCTTGTTTTTTTTTACAAAATGGCGGTCTTTCGTGTCACGAAAATAGTCACATTTGTTGCAAATCGCTAAATGCTTCATATAATCGGACTTAATCCAGGCAGAAATGTATAGAATATACATATATATATATATATATATATATTTCGCATACAAAATAATTTCAGAAAGTAAGCCCTCTACTTGTTGATCGGATAATGCGCGACAATTACGCGTTTTGTATGTGAAACGTATGTGCTTTTTATTTTATTATGTGATTTTGGTATAAATTGGATATGTTGTGTTTAAAAACCATATGTTATCATTCCAAAAAGTTAGGTGCACGTTATTGTTGTAAAGTTTGAAGTGGAATCGTTTTATATATTCTTTACTTGCTCGCAATGTATTTATGCTTTTTTTCCGTCGCACATCAAGGTTTTCTAAGCGGTTCCTTAGTTAAAACTTGTGTGATACGTAAACATGAAAGACAAAAAAAAAGATTCTTTTGACGCGCACAATATGTGTATCGTGCTATGCCACACGGATATGGGTAAATTGATTTCAATATTCACGGTGATAGAAAATAAGAAAGTAACCGGGAATGCATCACCTCAATGCATCGTAAAAATTTTTAAGAAAGTGAAGTGGTAAGTGGAGAAAGTATTTATAGATCTTATGGTTGCACAAATTTATTGTTTTATTATTTATTGAAAAGTATTCCAGTTATATATTTGACTTGATTAAAGCATGACCAAGATTTACCTCAATTAAATAATTATGTTTATTACTTTATATTGTTTTTCCATTCCGTTCGAAAAATTGGTTAATGATATGTGTGGATAGAAACCCGTTTGGTTTGCTTGACGTTCAGAAAAAGGGGAAACCTTAGACAACTTATTTAAGGCAAATTTGGTTTACAGTAGGAACTCGTCTTCCTTTATTGCGATCCAAGCAACTGCGGAAATAGGATAGACTCCGTAAGGATAAAGATTTAGTCTAGTTAAAGCGGTCAAACTGATCGCGCTGAAATGTTTTTCCTAATATTAATGTTTATGTCTGCATGTGTTTTAACAGAATTTGAATGGAAAAAATCCGAATAATGTCTTTCCTTTTATTTATATTCAATCATAATTACTATGGATCTATGAAAGAAAATCGTATTAATTTAATACAGAAGCGAAAAGGACGAGAGGTTTGTATACATAAATGTGATGGAGCCAAATATAGTTATGCCTAGGAATGTTGTTGAACTTTGCCGATGATGTCGCTCCAAAAAGTGCCATAACTCTGTAAAACAGTACCACTGCAAGAGGAGAAAAGAGAGAAAAAAAAAAGAAAAAAACGAAATGAAAATCAAATTGTTTATTAAACTTAAAGATTTAAGATTGTATAGCAAAAGTAGGCTTTGCCCCTTTATCCATAATTTTTATCTTATAGTATTTTTAGAACGTAATACTCCTTTTCAAGTCTTCACAATTTTGTGGCAGTGTCACCCAGTGGGAAGTATATGATAACTTAATATTTCGTTCGTAGCAAAGCAGATCATTCTGCAAAGATTCTTTCGAAATTCTAAGGTCATTCTAGCCATTTGGTCTCTTCTAGGAATTTAAAAATTGCTTATGTATTGTTTCTACCACTATTTCTACTTAAAGTCTATAATGGGCATAGACCTGAAATTTGTTTACAAACATCCACCAGAACCATAAAAAAAAATTGAGCGTACAATGAAAAATGATTTCGATCTGTCCAAATTGAACGAATACATGGCAGTTTATTTTGTAGGTTGAATTGAGACAAACGTTTTAATTGTTGTGGTAACACTACAGCGGATTGGCTTCTGTGCATGAATGGCTCCCAATTGAATCAAACTTATGTTAACTTGTTATATGCAAAAGTGCAGCTACATACATATAAGCATAAATTAGTTAGTAATTTAACGCCAATTAATAATCAATTTGTCTTTATTGTTCCGCTAATGAAGAAATAATGATCTTCGCATTCGCTGGTGTGCTATTATTGTTGTATCATTTGTAACATTCAGCAATCATCGCTAGTGAGGGATGGGGGAGATATAGCCGTGGGGATGTGGATGGGAAAGAGTAAGCTATTAGTGTCAAAATCGTGTTCCTTAGAAAGACACGAATTTGTGAAGCAACTTTGTCGGCACTTTGTGCCATATTGTCGGGTTCACCAATTAAGTAATTGAAGCAAGGACTTGAAGGTTTTTTTTTAATAAATATTTAAAGACAGTAGGGCGTCGGAACAGTAGTCGCAAAAAAATCTTTTCCTTCGCTTTGGCTGTACTTCTCTGTAGTTCTCTTTCATATTATCTTCACGATATCTGTCTTAGATATTTTCAATAATCTCATAATTTTTCTAGAAATCGGAATAGATTAGCCAATGAGTGTTTATAGAGGACGAAATCTAAATTCTTCTCAGTACTGATAAATACCTCAATCCTATGCATCTACTTGTTCGCGAAAGATAGAAACGCAGAACTGTGGCTTCCACCACAGAAAGTATGTTAATTGCAATCTAATTGATTTGGTCTCGTGGTATTTCTTTTTTATGAAAATTGAATTTAAAAAATTTATTAAAAAATTTAATTGAAAGTAAATTGACAATCAACGTATGTCTTAGTTAGTTAATCTTCAAAATGGTATAACTTTTGAAAAGTATTTTCATTCTAGGAATATCTTAATTTATGACTTAAAAATGTAGTTGGGAAACAAATGTTGGGCCAGGGGAAGAAATTATGTAAGATGACGGATTGCCCTTTAAATTAAATTTAAGGTCGCTAGTAAGCTCCTGCCATGCACTTGGAAAAGTTAGTGAAACTCGTCCAATATTCTGAATGATAATAGCGATCATCAACCACTGCTTGATCATATCAATCACTTAAGAAATAACCATTTAGTTAGGGTACGATGTTTGAAATTCGCCTCAAGTCGAATATAATTTTTTCTATTTTTTTTTTTTTCATTTATTCTAACTAATATTGCATTCGCGATAAGATACTCTTTGTGATGATCATAATAAATATTAAAGAAACAGACATGACACACTTTTTATACATCATTTATACTTCGAAAATGAATGTATAATGTTGTAAATCTATTAGAGTAGTTATGTACATATATGCATAGATTTATGTGCATTACAATCATGCTTGCATATAATGCATATATAGTTACATGTATGCAAGTGTGTACATCCATTAGTTATTGTCGATAAGTAAGGCTACATTGTTCACCCAAACCCCAAGTATAAATGTTACATTGTAATTATATGGCAATGCATTAATTGATGCATGATTGTGCAATACGTACAGAAATAAAGTGTTATATTAATGGAATGGATTCGGCGAGGGGAATGAAAGGTAAAAAAAAAAAAAAAACTGAAACGCATATGCTTAGTCACCTGTAAATGTGTAAAAATGTGTAAATGTATATGAAATTGTAAAACCCACAGATACATGTGCTTGCATTTTCCCATCATAAGGCTTTTATTTCACAATAACATCAGTTTACTGCAAAGGCGTCCGTCAGTCGAACGGATAGTTTTGTCTGTTTTATTCTGCGCGATAAAAATTAAGAACTATTCCAGTACATGTGGCCAATGTAAGACCGGTCGTTCGTTAGAGGCAAAGTGGGCGATAGCTTAGTGTGCTCGAATGCCGACAAACGTTATAGATTAAAATATTTGATTAGTGTCCTATTTTTCCTTTTTTAACTGAAAATGATCGTCGTTCTATACAATACTATGTTACAAAAGCAAGGAAGAATTTAGTATGTCTCACCCTTCGCTCCTGGTTGTAAAAATGATTCAGGTTTTTTTCTTTTTTTTTTTTGGTTATTAAGACAATTGCATCGCAAGTATTTATAAGCTTTACAAAAGCAATAATTAATTGCAAAGACTCGTCTAGTTGCGTTAAATTCTCTAAGCGTTCTACCTACAAGTATTAAAATATATAAAACATACCTATGTTAAGCTAAGCTTTCAAATGATTAACTTATGTGTGCGTAGAACGAAATGCCATGCGTCATGAAAGGATGTGCATTTGATGTTTCCTGGATCGCAAATCGCTAGCTTAAAATTCGTCAAATTTCTTACCGAAAACTATTTCTCAAATTTATAAACACTTTTGGTAACTGTTGTCAGTTAAATCGCTTTAAAAGTAGGTTGATAGTGATTACAAGACTAAGCTTTCAAAGTATTTTGCCGATAAGTTACATATCGACACGGAAGAGATTGGTAGAAAATTGACAGAATTATTTTTATCAAAATCGTGCAAGATTGTGTTTTTTTTTTTCGAGTTTAGTAAATCCACGTTTCAGCGTGAGGTGTTGCCTTAAACTATTCACGTCTGCATGAACATCTGCAGGGTAAAGTGAATACTATTTGTTTTTAGAACCGATCACTTTTTAAATGGACAGTAGGGAAAATGGCAGAGATCAGAAGTACCTTTGATTCTTATAATGTAGACTATCTAAACAACTATCTTAGCTCATATTTTGGCCTAAAAGCTATACGAAAATTAAATTTGTGCATAAACGAGAGTTGAGCAAATGCTGCCCTTTCCTTTTTTTTTTTTATCGTTACTTCACTTGTACTCACGTGAAATATACTCGTCCGCGCTTATTTTGCGGTGCCTTCCATATTAGTTTGGCGGCCAGTTTATCTTTGTTATCGCCGTGAGTGATGGCAGCACATTCAGGTATGGTGTTGGTGTTTTCGCTTTTCACCCATTCGCCGATCCATTCATTAGTGTCGGCATCACGTGCTTGTATAAAGAAACCACGAAACAGTTCCTGCTTGGTGTGCGGATATATAACCACTATACGAGCGATATAAAAAGGGATTATGGCTAAGTTTTAGCTAAGACTTTTAACCAACTTTTAACCAAACGAACCCACCTGATATCTCCTGTCCTGGATGATAGGACTCCGAACTGGCCACTACTTCAAAGGGATTCGTATGCAGTGGCTGCGGTCTTGCTTGACCGTGATTCGGTTGATTTGGTCGCTTTTTAACACACGTATCGGAAGGAGCACCGTTCGGGAAGGACTCTATCGCTTTCCCCATTACGCTTAAAATAATTAAAACACTTATCGCTTTACTCGATACGGACGGCATATTTGAAAGCACTTTCGAATTTATATAGAGCTCTTTTTCTCTTTTTTTTTTTTTTTTTTTTTTTTTTTTTTTTTATTAATAATTGCTAAATCCGCTGATCGCTGGTCAGTTAATGTCTTGCGTGCATGCGTTGCTGTTCCGTTGATTGTTGTATCCGAAACGATTGATTTCGTATGTTTAGTATAAAATCACGTTTGAAAATCTCTTTGCTTAGCCGCAAGCCGTGCGCTTTTAAAGATATTGCCACTGAGCCATCATGAGCTTTATCTCCATGTCCGCCGATTCTACATACGCACACATATATCTCTAATATGATCGTGCCTCTCTACAGGCATACCTACACGGCTCTTAGCTTACATTCGTATTACATATGTGCTGCATTTGTATGTCTCTGTTATTTTATTGTGATTTTTCCATTAGCTTGTGGTGGCTTATGAATTTTAAAGGTAAAGCTTTAACTGCAGCACCGTTAGTACCCAGACAAACTGGCAGAAATTTGGTGTAAAAAAAAAAAAAAAAAACAGAAAAAACAAAAAAAAAAACAATACAGCGTAGAAAACGAAAAACCTGTCAATTCAGTAAATACCAACGACATAGTAAGAAATGGTTCTTTTTTGGTGGAATTCGCAAAGAAAAAATTTGTTAATTTGTTGTGCGCCTACCGTTGAAGGCAGGTAGGGTTCATTAAGTTTGTTATTTTGTTCGTGAAATTCAGAACTTCAACTTGGCAAGCATCTCTAAATTGCTTCAAGTATACCTTTCCGCTTCTCTTTGTCCTTTGTGATGTATTTGCTTATGGAAATTGAAAAGTTGCTGTTGCTGAAGTCAATATTTCAAATGAGTATACTTAACTTTAACTCGACCTTTGGAGTAACTAATCTTGCAAAAGATTAGAAAAGAAAAGAAGAAAAGTTTTACGTTTCAAAAAATATAATGAGCATGATTAAGCGAACGAAGGTTAAGCCCTTTATTAATAGTGAATATGTTGGGTATATAAGATTCGATCCAAGATACACGTAAAGCTTTATTAGTAGCTTAAATCTAAATTTGATCATTTCGAATGCGACCAGTTTTTAATTAATAAATTGTACTTCTCGGAAATTGTTATGAGACATCGTTTACTTTGCCATCTAAACTGGGTCACATTAACACCAGGCGCAAGCCGCCATACCTATACATGTATGTATAAATATATATGTGCGCTTTTTACGCACTTAACCGGTGGCATATTGTGCAATACGCACACATATGTTTGATTTTTTTATGTATTTTTTTTTTTTTATATTTTCATTTTATCTAATAGTCTGACTTGTGGAATTCCGTCTTGTCTGTCGTTCGCATAGTAAACGAACTGTGATGCTTTAGATTATTTACGCGTTTAATGAGAGTGCATTATATTTACTTACATGTATTTAATGCATATTTCGCTTTTTAAAAAATTTGAGCGATTTCAGCGATCACTAATTACGAAATGAACGAGTCATTAGAACTTTTTAAATCGCATAAAATCATTTATAACCAATTATTTTATTACAACATTGAAGGCTACGAAAGCTCCATTTGTCTTAAGAAAAAATATTGAGTATTCATTATTTTAAACAAATATATAAAACTACTTGGACAACTATTCGTTAAGTACGAGTTCCGATGTCGGCCGAGCACGAAGAATTTTCTAGAAAGACACCAGAAAGGTAGAGAAAAGCATCTTCACTTCATAATATAAGTTCCTTTTAGCTCGACACGACGTCTTCTCTCGTCATTGCTAATTGTAAGCCTGTTAGCACCGAGCGATTTTTTCAAGTTTGGAACGAGCGAGAGCAAAAAGATTGCCTAACGAAGCAACTGTAATGGAAGAAGAAAGATCGCTGCTTCGATTTCCTATGCACTTGGAAAACCTGACGTTTCTTCTTCTCCTTTTTGTGATTCGGAAGCTGATGTTCACTAAAAATGACAAAAGTGATGTTTCGCAACGACAAGTGCACTCAATTTACTCCACGTGTTACATTTAATTTTTTTATTTTTCGTGCTTAGAACATTTCCTCTACTACTATATCGATTTGTCGCGAGTTCTTTTTCGCATAAGCGTTGGCGCGGCAACCTTTTTTGCGATCTAAGTTCGCACAATATTTGTTGCGATATTCTTTGAGTTGAAAATCTGAAGGAGATATTGACTTCTACTTAACTGACGGTTTCTGGTAAAGAACAGATGCTTTCGAAAGCTGAATCGCTTGCGTCTCGGGAACTTTGCTGCAATATTTTTCGATCCTGCTACTCTTACCTCTAGCTTGACTAATTACATTTCCCATATAATTTTCGTCTGTTTAATAGATCAATTTATGCGCTAAACCATTTTCCGAGGGAATCACGTCAAGCTTCTCGTAACTTCTCCTCCCTCATTATTCTCAGTATTAGATTGATCTCAGGCATAACAACTTGCGTTACCTTTTTCACATCTAAGTTCTTCGCCTGCTTGCATTTATTTTACTCAACAGAATGGATTCGTGGACTAAGCCATTCTGCTCACATTTGAAATCCTACTTTAATACTAACTTCTCCTTTACTAATTATTTTGCCTATCCAAAGATGGTTTCGCATGTCGTACCGTAGTTTGCGTAGTTTTTCCATCTCAGCATTTGTAATCCGCTCTACCTGTCTTGACATTACAGAAATTTACTGCCTCTTACTGTTGTTAGTGCTTCTCGTGTATAAATTTAATTCACATAACAGATGGCTTCGTGAAACGCGCAATTCCTCCCGAGTAGACAATTGCGTTTTTAGGGGAATTTTTTCCTAACTGGACTCCGAAAACCTTTCACTTGTTTCACTTCTTACAGCAATATTAGGTAATCCAAGGCATTAGTTTGATGGGAATGGGCTGGGCCTTGCATACTATTGTTAGTTGTCTTATCATAAATAAGTCTTAGGTTATGTTACTTAGACCGTTACATATATATTTTAATCGTACGATGTCGAACTTTAGATGGTAACAATTTGAAATTGAATTCGCTTTCAAGCGAATATAGTTTTCCTTTTTTTTTTTTCATTTTCCTTCTTATTAGCAAAAACTATGTCAATTTAAACAAAAGGCTTACGAGTTAGAGAGAGCGTCTGCGCTGAGTCAGCGAAAATAATCAAAAAAGAAAAAGAGAGAGAGAGAGAGAGAGAGAGAGAGTGAGCGGAAGCAGGACATGAGTTTATTTCCATATAGCGAGTGGAAAAGCCAAAGGACTTTATCGTTATACGCCACCGTTGCCCGTTACAGATTAAAGTGAGACATTGCAACGCATAAACGTGTAGCGAAGGAGATTTTTTGGATTTAAAAAAAAAGTATGCAAACTGAGACAAAAAAAAAAAAAAAAAACAATAAATAAAAATTTTAAATAAATATACTTAAAAAGAAGGATAACAAGGAATATACTTATGAAGAAAATATTTTGATGAAAATAGTGAATATAAGTAAAACTGTTTCCGTTGGCTTCTCCGTGCACTTACCTCGTGTCTAAATAGGATATAACGTAAATTAATCGATGAATAGTGATTTGTGAAAAATAATACGAAATACTAAAGACACGTCATCGCAAAGCATGTTTAAGTCAATTAAAAAAATATCTTTTTTAAGTCATTTTTTTATTTTTGCGAAATATTTTTAAAAAAGATTAACAAAAATTGCTTCATTTTTTTTTTTTTTTAATATTTGAAATCGGTATTCTATTCATACATACGAAACATACGGAAACGTATCCGCGTATTTAATATTTATTTGTCCCGCACATATATAATGTGAATATGAATATATATATTTATATATATTATTATAAATATTTTGATTCCTTTACTTAGTTAGTAAGCGTTGCAAATAGTGCGTTATAGTTGGTTCCTCTTTAAGTGCGATAGGTGTTTAGAGTACATCTCCTATCCTGTAATAATAGTCTTAGTTAGTGGTCTTGCTATGATGATGGTAATACAATCAAAATACTCTGGCTGGCGTAATGATATTCTTTTTTTTTTATATAGTTATAGTTCATGCTATTCAACAAATTGATATTTCTATAGCTATGCTTGCTGCCATATATATATATATATATATGTGTGTTGTGTTTGTTCTATCTGCGTTTTCTCATTCCATTTTCATTCATAGAATTGTCGCCCAGCTTTGAAAAGGCTCCCTGTCTATACATGTGCTCCATGTACACTTGCATTGAATGATTCATAATAATGTTTGCAATCTGAGAGAATGAACTAAACCTTATAAAGGTAAAGCAAATAAAGATATAAACGTAAGGAGAGGAAAAATCGACACTAACTGTACATTTATGCATGTGTACGATTGTATGCGTGCAGTTGTAAATTAACTTCAGGGCATATTTCCGCAGTTATGAATTCATTTTTATTATTTAAAAAAAAAGGGAGAAAAAAAAGAAAAACTTAAACCTTACATACAGTAGTGCACAGATTTTGTTTGGCCAAGTGACCCGCTAAAGTGGCTAAGAGAGCTTACCTTTGCGTGTATTTAAGTGTAAACCGAGATAATTAAAAATTGTTCATAATACATACAGTACAACACAGTAGGCTAAGATCTCCTCTAGTTATTTATTCTTTAGTTTCTCCTTATACCGCAATAACTTTTTGAATAATGTAAAGGCTTTTAAGACTCGTGCCCTGACTTGAATTTGACTTGACTATGCATGGCTTTTAACATGTGTATGCATAAGCTATAGCATCATCTTATGTCAACAAACTCTAATACCGTTTACTATAAATACAATTGTTTCACAATAAACCATATAACCATGAACTTTCGGTACCTTTTGCCCTTTTTGTGCATCAAAGTGGAGAAAATATTGAGTCAAATATACAAAGTCTGCCTCAATTGTTTGATTGCTTTACATATATATACACATACACATACATACATATATGTCATTATAAATTTTATAAAAGTTTCATTATACACCTATATGTACATATACACGTTGAATACGTCGTTAAGATCGCATTTACTTTTGGTGTAACAAAGACGAAACACACTGACTTCTTTTTTTTGTATCGCACTAGAAGCAAACATGCATCGCAAGGAAATCGCAACACAGCACGAATCTATTAACCAACCACTGCCATGGCACGCGCGTATCAAATTTAACCTCAAAATCTTAATCTTTATGAGAATATTTTATTTACTTTTCTTCCTTTTTTTTCTTCTTCTTATTTTAACATTTTTTTTTGGCTGTGTTGGCTGTTGGTGTTGAAATCGACGATGATTTGAATTTTTGGCAAGCTTGCAAAAAATCATTTAACGCCGTTTTTTATTTTAGGAGCGAAAGCATTTCATTACACATCCAAAATTTTCAATAACGAAACTATTTCATCTTAAAATCAATTTCATTTCCCGTTGGTGTAATCATTAAAGTAAAGATTGTTTTCTCGATAATTTCTCTTTGTATCCTTTTTAGGATACAATTTCTAATAATTTTCGCAATTTAGTTAACCAACAAAGTTGTTAAGCTCTTTAGCAGTGAGCGTGTCATTCAGAAAGCCAATCTTTCATTTTAAATAGCAGAGTGATTCCACCGTCGGCTGTTCGGTATGCTAGAGGGCTTTATTGCAACTTAGATTTGGAGGAACTGTGTAAAGACGTTTCAGTCCGATTAGAATTTTCCCACAGGATATTCAATTTTCGCTTTACCTGATGGTTATCATAAAAACCGTAAATCGAAGTTTTCCACTGACCTCAAAGCCTTAAGGATGTTGTTTAAGATGATGCGACAAGAGGGTACAAGATTATATGAAAATATCATGATATAATTTGCAAGAAGAAAATAAAGGGATTGCCAAAGCATTTTGTAGCTGGATCTCATCAATAGTCTTTGAAGAAACACCTCCTTTCATAGTTTGCGGTTATAACAACAGTTTGAGTTACCTTTATGCTACCACAGTCCACGACATACTGATAAACGGAATAATGACTCCATCGTATCTTGAATACATTGTTGAACAACATTGTGATCCAATTCGCCTATCCCTTGCAAAATGTCGGAGATGTCTCTTTTTGGGTACTTGGGAATGAAATTGATCTTAAAAGGATTTAAGTTTAAAAAAATAGTTGTGCTTTGCAAGACCTTTCTATGCATCAGGCCTATAGGAGACTATTGAGAAAGTCTTCGGATAGGATTTTTATTAAAAATGGGTCTTTCTTCTAATAAGTAATTGCCCCAAATATCATTTTCTTCACCTTGTGTTATTTTGAGCAGACGCGTAGATGGACTTTATTAAGTCGATTTAGAATTTGATTTAGTGGGTCCTGATGCATGAGCTGCACGCCCAATAACGCTACGAAATTCCTGGTGGACGCTGTTCACCATTAGATTCCGCTTATATATGCGCGGAACATTGTCCGATAAATGAACACGAATACGACATTTAAATTTTTCCGTGATTTCGATATTCTGAAATTTGACGACTAGAGAGATCGGCTAGAAAACCTTAATATTTGTCCCTAGATTTTTACAAGATGTTTATAGGGCCAATCACTACCGATGCCGAACTAGCTAAGGCTTGAATCCATTTCGATATTACTGTAGGCGATGACTACAGAGATCGCATATGACTGAATTTGATATCAACCTCTGAACTAATAGAACACTTCTGTACAATCAATGATTGCTGAAGTCGCAAGATCTTAATCTATTTCGATAAATTTAATAATAACTCGTTAGCGCTGCTAATGTTTAACAAGTCAAGATTTCAACGCGCAGGATTGGATGCGATCACAAAACGTGTCTGGGGCCAATCGCTACTGATGTCACATGAATTAAGCCTTAATGTACCCATCACTTTAGTGCTCATTTGATGATAACAGAGATTCGATATAACTTGAAGTTTGATCCATTTATAATCGCAAGACGTCTACGGATGTGTACGAAACTTTACGTTTGAGAATTATTGGATTTTTGCATAGACTCAATAGGAAGAGAAAGAAAAAAAGAAAGAAAAACAATCGATCATGGTATGGAAATCCGGTACATAATGCCTTATTAGCTTTGGTCACGCTTGAGGGTGAAGACTGCTTAGATGTTTTCTACGTTCAAACTTCTAGATCAATTTTCTAATTCCCAAGATCATTAATTCTTTTAACAGCGAAATCTGTATTTAATGGAGCACTATGGTGTCGCCGTAGTGTCTTGAAATATGTTGGATTTTGTAATTGTTCTATAAGGAGGAGATAAACTTACATAATTTATTGTGCATATGATATGACGCCTGCATATATTATGTCGCCATAATATACGGGATAACACAGTAATTCATTATAAGCTTAAATTACTATATAAATGAAAACATCTCCGCCGCTTCATTCAGAGCACACGCAGAGATTGCTTGTCAATCGCTGGGAAAGGCATGTATTTGATATAACATATATACGGTTTCAAAGGCTTGCTAGTAAGCTATGATTAATAGGTGGGGCCGGGTGAATGCGTGTCTATGTATATACTTGCGTCTATGTGTGCACGTGTATGTTTGTTAATGTGAGTACTGCAATTATATTGAATTTGATAAGGAAAATAAATGCCAGCAAAACGGGCCAGCATCACTGCTGCTATACGTTAAACGTAATATTTCTGTTGAAATGTTTAGTTTTCTTTAAGATTTTTGCGCATTAAATAAATAAAAAATAATTCTCATTTTAATTTTTTATCTATGTAAATTAATTTTTTTATTATCCATTTTAAATAAAGTTACGCGAGAAGCTTTAAACGACAGTTACCGCTAATAAAAACCATAACGCGTACTGTATAAAGATATTGTTGTACACTGCACTGCCTGCACTCAACAGTAGTAATAACGGATATAAATTGTTAACGTAAACAAATTACGGGTAAGTCGGCACCAATAAACCCCCCACTACAACACTACGAACAGTAGTGTGTATCGTTAAATAATAATGACAATAATGATCCAAATGTTGATAATGATTAAAAGGATACACAACTCGTTTGTCTTCATTTATTCATTCGCAAAACCAGAGTGGACGTAAATTATTTTCATTTTCATTTTCATTTTCCGAAAGGTCAGAGTAGTTTTATGCAGACTTACATTGCAAGCGAAAGGAAGGGAAGAAAGGAAAGAAGAGAGGAACGAGGGCTCATTAATGAATTTGCATTTTTATTTGTTCCAATTTATAATGATCATTAATTCATTCTATTTATAAACGAATAAGCGACTAAACGTTTTATCGAATCCTTTACGATTTGATTAGTATACATATATATATTGTCAGTTTGCCAACAATTTAATAAAAACGATGATAAAATTTTCACATAACTATGTTGTAAAGAACATTAGCAGCAAGCAACTTGAAAAGCACTTTATTTCTATTTCTATTTTATGCAATAATTTATGCAAATCCTCAATATGCTAAATATAAACGTAAATAATAAGAGATAGTGTTTTGCAAAGCATGTGACCTTCCATCTCTCTCACACTAATTTACATATTTATGTGCATTCATAAATATTGCATAATGCATAAATACATGCACAGATACATAGATAGATAGATACTTTTATTACTAAACTATTAAGTGATTAATTTTGAACAACAAAACGTGCAGTTTTTTTTTTTTTTTTTACCCCCCAGTTAAGCATATATTTTTTATTCATTTGGGCGAGCAGGCACCCAGCAGTGTTTAGCTGTCCGCAGGGGCATGAGGATAGTTAGGAAAGTTTGCGAGTAGAGGAGAAGAAAAGAGGATGGGACGTAGCGTTTTTGCATGTGTGGGAAAATTTTGTTGTGGAAACATTTGAAGAAACCGCAACAGGTAAATTTTAGTGGCATTGTGTAGCGCTGTTAAATAATGCCATGTCATGGTAGTGCATGTTGCGGTATACCGATAATTGCGGAACAATCGAGTGAGAACGAGTGAGTGGGAAAACTGACTAGTTCTGGTCGAGCACAAGGTGCCTAATACATAAGGCACCTATACTTCCTACGCCGCTGCTCAACACAGTGAAGAGTGTTGGACACCACCTCTCACCACCATCTATGAACATGAGACTCTTTCGTTATACATAGTTGGGTGCTGTCATAATTGAAGGCCCAGAAGCCACATATACATCGTCCTTGTCGCCTTTAAGTTTTGTAGGCGTAATGTTTTTTAAAACTGTGGGAAAACAGATGGGCCGTGTAGGATGGGAAGACAAACTGCTAAAATTATTTCGTAAGATATTCTTGCCGGGATTTTTCACCATTAAAGCGCTTTCCAGCGATAAACAAATTTCATCTCGAGTCAGTTAAGGCATGGAATTAATCTTTTGGCATATGTAATTAGTTGTCTTAGGCTACGGTGACCGCTTGGTATGCTTATGCAGATGTCATGACTCGATGATCTTATAGATTTTTTCAAGAATGACTCCCAATAACTTCTCAGGGCTTTTTCAAAGCTAGTAGAGGTATTCTGACTAATTTTATTAGTTTTAAAGTTATGTTGTGAAAGACACTTCCGCCACAATTAATCTTAGATGGCTCACTGGTTTCAAATAAAAGACAATTAAAGCATTATAGTCGGGCAAGGTCGGGCGTCGCCTTATGCAATTCTTTATCCGTTCTCGGTATAAAATGCGAAAAGACAAATCTTGCTTGTATATCGTCTTGCAAAGACTAATTTTTTATGCAAGCTCCTGCGTAGGAACGAGCTCGAAACGTCGACCGACGTGGCCTAGATTTAGCAAATTTCATATCTTCGTCAAACATGTTATTACTCTTTGCTTTTACGATTTCCGTTATGAACTGCCAAAACTTGTACCTTTTTGTCATGTGTAGACATACTTTTCATGTGAACTGAGATTCAAAAAATTAGACTACGTTGTCCAAATTTGGTACAGTTAATTTTTACTTTAAAAAACTGTCATCCAACAATATTTACCATGAAATATTCTCAATTAGACCTTTTTGTTATGTAACGGGTAGCAATGGTTTTATGGGAGGGTCTACCCATCCACCCAGTCCGAGGTTTTCGCGTAAATGTAATATGTCAAGACACTAATACTCACAAATTTTTGTTTGGAAATTTTAAAAAATTTTATTTTTTGTCATATTAATTAAAAGGAGTGGTCCGATCCAAATCATTTTCAATAGCGTTTGTCCTTGGGTCACGTCAGCTTGCCAAATTTCCTAGGTTGATTATAAAAATGCATAGAAAGACATTAGACAGTCAGACAGAAAAACTTACATAAAGTAAGTCTGCCATAAGTCCTTCTAGTTGTTACATACACCCCACGTCAAGTACAAACAGAAGTCAATAGTTTACCTAATTTTTTTTGATACATCATGAAATTGTAAAAAACAAATTTTTTCGTTCGTCGGTCTATCCGGTCTATTTTATAATTCCGACCTGTAAGTTGAATACAAGAAAACAAGAAAGGCAAACAGACACCTCGACACACAAACTTGGAAAGATTCGGAAAGTGATTCTGAATAGATCGGCATAATAAAAGATGAGTCTATCTCAAGTCCAATTGGATGTTGTCTGAAACGGTAAAAACTTTATATACGTTTGTACCGTAAGTTATGTGTAGGGTGTAAAAATTAAATTTATGGGATTTAAGACATGTGTTTGTTTTTATTCCTACATACAACCTACCCATATGTAATTAAAAAAAGTGGAAGTTTCTTCAAGTGGCGACTTCTTAAGTTGCATCTTAAGCAAGGCAAGGGAACGGCAGATTAGCGCAACATATAAATGATGCATAATATTAACACATTTTAGCTTAAATGGGATACAGTTTTTCCGTTACGTACCATAAGTTACTGTAGTTCTCTCCGTTCAGCGTAACCGTTCTAAAGTACGATTCGTCGTCAGTTAATTATTTCCAAGTTAATGAAATTATGTAAATGCATGGTGTTGTTAGTTCATATTTTCATGCTTACGGAAATTTCCCAAGCGATTTCATCATCACATAGCAGCTGAGGTGACATTTATAATTTCGATGTACTGCACGCAAGCATCGCCGTCGTAATTTTGGTAAATATGTTGTGGGGTAGTAGTAGTAGTTGGGTGTATATAGCATTCTCTTGATTCTTATTAGATTACTTGCCTATATAAGGCAAGTAAATGCAAACGAATTAATGTAATAATTATTGCTGGGGTCCGCCCACGTCCATATTAAGCATAAATTTTGGTCAATGTGGTTGTTTTAGAGCAGTAAGAAAACCCCAGAGATTCATTCTAGAAGGGATAAGCTATGATGTGTTTTAGTTAGTGTTTAGCTTCAAATTGATGACACAAGCTTATAAATATATATCTAATATTCATTGTAATTTGTGCATCAGTACACAGCAGAGTGTGTGTGCGGATATGTGTTTTAATATCATTTTAGTTTTATTTAAACATAGTGTGAAAAACAGCTTTCACTTATTACGCTCGATATGAACAGATACATATAAAGAAATCAATTTTAATGCATATCCTGAATGTATGTATATATGCGTCTATGTTTGTTTGTGTGTGTGTGGGTAGACATACGTATGAATATGTACATATATACTTTATAAGGCGGGCACATTGCCAATTATTCCAACGCATTTACAAACTGGCATACATAGCTATATTCGCACAGATAGATATACGTACTATATAGTGCCATTAAATCAACTTATTTACATATCGAATTTTAAACGAAAGCCAGTTTAATGGGAAAACTTGTATTTAATGGTTTTTCATATATATATGTATATATGTCATTTATATATATATCAGCTACCAGGAGAAGAAGAATATATCCGTTGCGGTTTTCGAAATGAAATACAACCAGTATGCAGGCGTCAGATGGGCAAAAGCAGCGTCAAAAACGGTTCCAAAAGAAGGTCCAAATTATTATATTTTTGAATTTTTCATTCTACTTATCTGCCTTAGATTTAATAATTCGGAAGACGCAATGTCGGGAAAGGCTGGTGTTTCTTATTCCTATCATCCGCCTCTTTTCTCCGCTCACAAACAATTTGGCAAGAGAAGTCAGAGGAAAAATATCTTTTTTCCTCGCCGAAGGGTGTATTCTGCATCATATGAAAGCGTATCAGACCCATAGAAAAGCTCGGGAAGGTCCGATGTTCCCTTTTCCTGTCTGCCACATACATATACACTTCAAGAGTAGAATATTTCTTAGCAGGTTTTTTTTTTAAAGACAACAAATGAAATAAGTGATCCCTGTCGAATGTAACCCTTTTGCCTTACATACTGAGAGTTTCACAGTACAACACTAATCTCACTTAGAAGAACTTGCCTAACAAGCGTTGCAATGTCAACCACCGTCTCAGAAATGAGTGATTTAGTGCGATTATGAAATTGTTTATGGAATATGATGGCTTCACGATTGAGTTTAGTGCCTTGGAGGAGAGCGATTGTAATAATCTTCCGGCGGCCGTTAGTAGCGTAACATAAAATTTTCCTCCAACGCTAGGGTACGCCTGGTTGTGATAGTCATTCTGATGGAGTCGGAGAGGGATGATAACTAATCGGCAAAAAAAATGCGTTGTGAGTTCGTTATAAGGTGCCTTTGCATCATTTTTGAGTTTAGTTAAAGCCCAAAAGTCGAATTTGTAAAGCAAAAGTAGAATTGTCAACGGATGGTGATATATAAATTTGGCCAAATCGCTAGAATATGTACAAATTCTTATAAAGTGTCGAAGCGTACACAAGCTCCAGCATTTTAAACTTGTGCAAACACACAATCATGTCCAATTCTTCTATTCATCCTTTGCCAATGCGTCCCTTATAGTCGCTTAAATTGAGATAACAAGTTGAACTTGGCATAAATACTTGTGACTGTAGTTCAAGTGTAAAAATGCGCTTGATTTCTGCAGAAATCAAACAACACTAAC